TGAGTACTTTGAGCAAGCACGTGTTCGACGGTATTGGTTTTTTCCTACTAATGCATGCTAATGAGTTTTGCTTATTTCTAAAGTGTTTACATGTCTCTACTGAATCTTTTGAATTTCCCTACATGCTCCTTTCTGTTTATCTTATCATTTTAGATATTTTTGAACAAAGAAGGCTCTTTAACGTATATAATAAAAGTAAGTGCTAATAGAGCCAGTGACGTACGAGTATGAGGAAACATTAAAACCTATAACTTCTATCTTTTTTAGAAAAAGGATATATATATATATATATATATATGTTTGATTTTGTTTTATATACACAATCATGCCGTCAAACTGTTGTATAAATGCAATATCACACTCGTAGCAGTATGAAAAAAAAAACAAAAAAAACATGCAAGTTCTGAAAGAGATTAAACCTCAGCAAAGGTAAGGAAAAGTTACTCAAACACATTCCTTTCTTTAAAAAATAATTATGTAATGCAACTAGTTATTTTTTGGCAAGTAACTCAATATTGTATTTCATTAATTTCAAAGGTAACTTTCCCCAACACTGTTTATAACACAAAAACTAATTTAACACACACTGGAAAAAAAAAAATATTTTTGCAAAATTGTTGCAAACGATTTATAGTGATTGAATTAAACAAACAAGTGAAGTGTTACAAACTAATTTCGAGAGGATCATGTGGTATGATTGAGCACAACTGGCTTCTCATCTGTAATCTGTAATAATCCAATCAGAGGGATCCAAGCTACTATAAATGGACCGTTTTCTCCCTACGGCTCAATCTTTGTTTTGGAAGAATCCCCCTTCCACCCTATCTTCTCCTTTTTCTCCCTTTTCTAGGGGGGAGCTCTCAAGATCTACCTGATCTCAGATCCCTCTATATGCTTATTGACCAGACGGGAGCCTTGGGCTCAAGTATCTCCGAGCTCCGGGTTCTCTCCCGAGACAGCATGCCAAACCTGCTATAAACGCTAAGCATATCTAAGTGGGAACTCTTGAAATGAAATTTAATAATTCTCAATTTAATGTGTTTGTTTAAATTCAACACTAATAAATTGTTTACAACCACTTACCCAAAAAAAAAAAAAAGCGTAAATCCAAGGAATCATCATTTTTTTAGTGCAACATCGTTGTTATGTTATGAAGAATAACACATTGGTTGAGGTCCAAACAACACAAAATGTGTTGTTCCCTTAACTAGACAAGAAATAACACAGGTTGTGTTGTTTTTAACACATCTGCTTTAGGAGTGTATGTGAAAACCTTCTGAAATCATATTTCCAGCTGTCTGTTATTGAAACAGCACAGTTTAGGGGCAAAGGGTGCAGAATGAATCACTGTCCTGACAACACCAGAATGAAGAGATACAGGGTGCATAGAATCAAGGTGAAGCAAACACTGATTTATTGATTTCTAAATGTCAAAGGAAGATGATTTCATTAAATTGAGCTTGGAGAGCTCAATTCTGTTTGTCTGTCCTTCCACCTTTCACTCTCTCTCTCTTTCTCTGTCCCTCTCAATGCATCCCAAATAACCATAACCATAAGTTTAATGGTATTTATTGATGGAAATGAAGTGGCATGATGGCACCAACATACTGAACATGCTACTCATTTTCATATGCATTAGAACATGTGATCAATTAAGGAGAATTCAGGTCTGGCTGGAGTCAAGGGCCAGGTCCTTTCCCAGTGAGGTAGCTCTAGCTCATTTTACTGCATGTGTCTGCGACTGCCTGCATGCCCCAGCTTGCATATGCAAGTCTGCAGCCAGATACTATATACCTTATGCTTCACGCACAAGTGGGCACAGCCATTGGTCTGTTTTTGGATCTTCCGGTCCCATTTACTTCTATTGATTTTTAGATGTGAAAAACAGGTTGTAATGCTGCTTGATAGGGACAGTGCGGTGGCACAGTGTTGTTGCCTTACAACAAGAAGGTCACTGGTTAGAGCCTCGGCTGGGTCAGTTGGCATTTCTGTGTAGAGTTTGCATGTTTTCCCAATGTTGACGTGGGTTTCAATGTTGACATGCTCCAGTTTCCCCCACAAGTCCAAACACATGCACTATAGGTGATTTGGGAAAGCTAAGTTGTTTATATGTGTTTGAATGAGAGTGTATGGGTGTTTCGCAGTGATAGGTTGCAGTTGGAAGGGCATCCGTGCCATTTTAAAAAGTGTACTATTTAATTGTGTTTCCAAATCTCATCCTATATATAATTATCTCCTCTCTCCTGGTTTTTCCTACACTTCTCATTTTTTCTACTTTCTTTTGAATTTTGTAAAACCACCGACCTTTTTTTTCATTATCCCATTGTTTTTGCCACCTTTCCTTCATTTTTTTCCTGAATAATACTCTTGACTTTACTTTTACTTATACTTACATTTATACTGATGTCATTATTTTAACAGCTTGTTTTGCTTCCTTATCTGCAATTTCATTTCATTGAACACCAATATGCACAAGTACCCATAGAAATATTACTTTTATACCCATCATTTAAATTCTATATAATGTTTGCATTTTAATCTAATAAAATATCTGGTCTACTTTATGAATTACTCTATTGTAAACTTGCCAGTGAAGCACTTGAGTCTGAACAGATGACTGACTTCAATGGTCTTATCTCCTCTACCCACTGTATTGCTAATAAAAGTGCAATCATTTCTCCAGTATGTACTGAGACTCCATCACTAATCCTTTTCTCTACCGATACTTAAAATGCAGGAACTGTAAAGGCCAGACCTACTCTATTTAAACTCTTAGATGCATTTGTATATATTTTAACATAACTGTAATATTCATTAATATATTTCTGTACATAAAACAAATTTCTTTCTTCCTCCTTTTCTCTTTTATAATACTTGAACACGCTTCATCTTTTTATTCGTGTTGTTTTATGGTGGGTGGCATCCAACTTTAAGGTGCATTACCGCCACCTACTATACTGGAGTGTGAACCAGAATGATTATAAGACTCAAATTATAAATTATATTCTATCTATTACCCCAGTTTGCCTCTAAAATGAAATTAAATAACTATAGCTCTTGATTTGACTTATTTCTATTGTTTCCTGCTGTATTTTCCTGAATATTTCCTTTTCATTATTATATTTCTGACAGTGACTTAATATATGATAATGATTCTTCTATTTGACAATAATCGCATAACCCAGTAGGATGCTTCCCAATGTTATGTAATGTTTTATTTAACTTAGTGTGCCCCAGTCTTAATCTAGATATTACATTATCCTCCAACATACTTCTACTTCTCCTCTTCATCCCTTACTTTCTTTTGAATGTTAAAAAGATGTCTTCCAGTATTTGCATTGTTTCATTTATTTTGCCATTTAATGCTGATTTTATCTTTAATTATTGCTTTCATCTCTTCTTTACTGAATGGTATCTCCATAACATTTTCCTGCCTTATTGCATCCTTTGCCAGTGAATCAGCCATTTCATTTCCTTTAATTCCTTTATGAGCTGGAACCCACATAAAAGTAATCACTTTATTAATCTTATAAAGCATGTATAGTATTTCATACATTTCAATGATTAAGTCTTGTCTGCTTTGAGATGAAGATGATTGTATTGATAATAATGCTGCACTGGAATCGGTACACGGAATAATCTTATTTCTTGGCTTCATTTGTTCAACCCAATGTAATTGCTATTGCTATTAGTTCTACTGTATAAACTGCCAGGTGATCTGATGTCCTCCTATTTTCTGATATAGGACTACCTAAAGATGGGATAGTAAATGCATATGCCGTTTTTCCATGAAAGTCTAGGTCCATCTGTATGAATTGCTATATAATTCTGATATAATGTTTGAATTCTGTCCTCTACTAACATTACAATATTTCCTGCCTCTTTTCATGTACTGCTATTTTCTAGATCGATGTTTGCTGTGTAAAAAAGCCATGGGGGTGTTACTTTAACACACCTGCCAGGTTGTAGTTTATCTAGTAAGAGCTTGAATAGCTGCTTCAGGTGTGCCCGATTGGGGTTGGAGCTAAACTCTCCAGCAGGACCGAGTTTGGATGCCCCTGTTTTAGACTCACTGACGATGGCTGAGCAGTGTGTGGGACATGGAAAAATACAATATTATCTTAATGCAACCTTTCTGATGCAAGCTGAGACTGCATCACTCAGCCATGCAATGTCAGACACAATGCACTCAAATGGAGCTAGTGACGTCACTGTGACGGGTATGGTTAAGGGTGGGGTTAGGTGAGCCCATTAAAAAGCATTGAATGCAGCCCAGATTGCACTGCACCAGGTCTGCAGCCAGACCCCTCTCGAAAAATCACATACATTCAATGAAAGAATGTGGCAAAAATTGACAAAAACATTTCTTAAAACACTTAAAATCTACTTGCAAGTGTGTAAAGGTTAAATCAACAATGTTAAAACATCAGAATTTGATTATTTTGTAGGTTATTACGTCTATGAAGGGCTGATTCAATGTTGTGGGACATCAAAGGCACTTTATAGTGATTATGACCCGTGAACTATCTCACAAACATGAGATTGATACAGTTGGGCTATCTAAAAAGGCATATAAAAATAAATAAATATGTAATGTTGTTGTTTTAAATCATTTTGATACTTGCATAATACTTTGGAACACACTGCATGTAATAAATTACCCCATAACAGATGAATCATGTTATAAAATATCTTCATTCCGAAGTGAGTAAACATGATGATCTTTAGGACTGCAGCCCAAAAGCCCACAGAAACTGAAATGAAGCACAGGAGGAGTCGTCAACGTGGAAAATCACTGAACTTCAACATCCCTCCACTCATGTTATTCATGAATGGGCCACTGTTCTCAAGGTGAATAAATCTGTATTCGATTACTTTCTTCTAACGTCGCACAAGACAGTATTCTTAAACAAAGCGTCTTTTGTTGTTTAGTCACATATACTGGAAATAAAGTTTTTTTTCAGACAGTTTTCATAAAACTGAAAGCGTAAACTAATCGAGTTTTAATAGCTTGCTATCACGACAGGACTGTTAATGGATAGCGGAATCATCGCTTATGTTATCCTGCTCCGAGAAGCTGATATGGAGTCGCTTTATTATATTTAAGACACTGCTGGACTCTTGATTAATAATACTGGATTATCAATCAACCTTGACCGTTGGACAAGGGAGGATTTAATCAGAAGCGATTGTTATTGCGTAGCATTTTAGTAACTTGGATAGTTAGCATCTCTAAGCTGCAAGTCTAGAGCCATGTCGCTAAATTGCTAAAGGACACATTTCATATCTAACGTTACCCACCAAAATGCCGTTTTTCTTCCTTTAACCGATAAGCTTGGATTCATCTGCACTAAAGCCGAAAATAAACTGCCCAGACTACTTTAACTGTCGGATGCTTTTTGACGCAGTAATAGTTAGTAAATAAGTTAGCATTGCTAGCATAGTAGTGCAGCCGCTGTTCAAATAGAAACTTCCGTCTTGCACTACGAAAGTCCGTTATCGTATGTTTTTGGGGCTGTAAACCCGAAGCGAGTCTTCCTCGTGTTTTATTTGCAAGTATCAGGCTTGAATGTGAACTAGCGTGAGATGCGGTGGTAAAGAAGAGTTCGATGCCGTGTGTGCTGGAGGATGATGCGGATGAGCTGGATGGTCACAGTCATTAACAGAAGAATGATGAAGATCCTGATCGCCCTCGCTCTCATTGCGTACATCGCCTGTGAGTATAGAAACCTGATATGACATCAAGCACACCTATTTGTCTGCCTGTCTGATGTTAACGTTACTTTGGTTCTGCTGTCATGAGTAACTTGGAGATGTCTTCTAGAGAAGTTATGAAGTGTAATATGTTTTAATGAAAGCTTATGGAGGTTTATTAGTACATTTTCTCTCATAAAGTGACACAGTCATACCATTTTAAGCTATAGTGTCAGATGGGAACACTGTGGTATTACATGTTTTTTTCATGGCTCTTCAAATGATAACTTGCCATGTTAATATGCATCAAATGCTAGATATCTGTTTTTGGTGATTGAGGTAAAGTTGGTTTCATATTCACACGTTCAGACTTTCTCCTTAATAATATACTTTCAGAATATTGAAAATAGTAGTGAATTCATATTAGTAACCAATGACTATCAAAGTACAACATTTTTCACAGTCAAAAAAATAGTACTAATGATATTTTGAAGTCATACTTGCATGTGATTTCAGTTCTAATATTCAATGTACTATGATAAACAATATAGGGAGCACATCACATTGTTACTGAATGAATGTGCAAATATTAAACCAACTTGACCTCAATACACTTGTCTGTTGCTTTAGTTCTGCTGTCATGTGTAACTGGTCTTTTATTGGCACTTAAGATTGCCATGTTAATATGGGTCAAAGACTAGACACCAGTGTTGGTGTTTGTATCAATTCAATATTGATTTATATAGAAACATTGTAAATGTAAGTTAAGCAAGGTAAAATAGGAAACTATTGCTTAAGTCATGTTTTAACATTATTCTGTGTAACAGATTTATTGAAAAGTTCAAGTGTATTTAGAGCTTCATTTCAAAATCAGCTATACAAAAGGTGCATGTTATTACATTAGTCAAAATCAAGAGTTAAAGTGTTGAGTAAAGGGTGAAGAGTATATATGATTCATAGTTAATGTGTACTTTTCAGCAATGTTTTGTGTGTTTTCAGTGATTGCAATAAGAACAGTTTGAAAAGTGAAACATCATACTTGATCTGGGCTGCGCTGATTAAAATATAGAAAAGAATAATGGATCATTTTAAATTTGATTACATTTAATTAGTCTAAAGTTATTAAAATCTCCTTGCTGACAGAGGGGTAGACTTGTTGAAAATACAAAATGAAAGCACGATTGTTTGATGGTGTACTATTATTCTTTTAATATGCACTCAAATGATTCCAGATTAAAATACTCCTGAGAATTTTTTTTTTCAGTATATAGACAACTGTTAAACTGAATTACATTTCAGTGGGTGTCTTGTGTTGACTGATAGCTGCAATCTTATGTTCAGAAAAATGAATGTATGGCTGATTCCAGCGTTATGGATGTGACATTTGCAGTAAAAATTCAAAACATAAATTCGCAGAGAAAGTATACGTTAACATTATATTGAATCATCTGTTTATATTTTCCAAAACAACTACCAACAGAGTTATGCGATCAAAAAATTCAATCTGTGAACATTTTTATACTTTAAATGAGGAAAATAAACAAGCGTTATGGATGTGACAAATAAAGCCTGTGAGTTTACAGTATACAACATATTTCGTAGAAATTCTGTGAATTAAACTGCACAACCCAAAATAAATAATTCTCAACAAAAGGATAAGAGTTGGCTCTTTATAGAACAAAACTGATTGATTTTATTTTATTTTGACATTTTTGCATTTTTGAGGGAAAAGCTTTGTTATGGATGTGACACTTTTTCGTTATGGATGTGACGGGTGTGAAATTGCCATTTGTTTGACTTTGTTAAATCAAATATAATAGTTTGAAAACATTGACAGAGACATTTTTAAGTATTTGTAAAGTACTGTAAAACACTTGCCTGCGCAAAAAATGTAGAAAAGGTTTCGCTATTTTGATAAAAACATTTTTCTTTTCATGGCAAGGTTGACATTTTAATGGAATTGCTCGTATACAAATTAAAGCTGTGGTATAAGTAGGCATGGACCGGTATAAGATTCTGATGGTATGATAACCTATTACGATGTTGTGATTACTGCTGGAAGTATATATTTTTTAAATGTCTGGGTAAAAAAAAACAAAAAAACAAACCTTTTCCCCCTTTGAACACAATATAGGCCTATTTTAATTTTGGAAACACTTAAAATATTCTGGAACAGTAAAAATGTCAGGCTAAGTAATTCAAATACATTTTTCACTTCTGCTGTCTTTATTTGTTTAAAAAACACTAATTTATTTAGAATTTAAAACAGCATTTTTTAAATCCCTTTTTTCTGCTGGAGATACTAAAAACAGATGTAAATAAAAAAATCTTCTGAAAGCGTGCACGTCATTTAAATAATCATATCGCATTTTGGAGTTATGATTGCGACAAGCATTTGATATGTTTTTTTTTGTCATAGCGAAGACATGTTGTGCATGAAAATAAATGTTTACAGTGTCCGTTTAACTACTCTAGTCTATAATGTTGATTTTACCAGTGAATAACATGGTCTAATAATGTTGTCAATGACAGATTGCAAGCATAGGCCTATTTCTGAAACATAATTCAACATCAGAATTATTATAAGTTGAATAGAATTACTTCTAGAAACCAGTAGACCAGACCTACACATTATATTATTGTTGTTTTACCATATGTTTGAGAAAAAAACAATAATAATTGCAGACTCATATTACCCTTTATTTTCCATCTACACTTGATACACTTGATAGCGCCGACATCAGCGACGCCGAAGAAATAGTAAACCTGCCTAAACTGCTGAAAAGAGCCACGACTGTCCTGTGTAATGAAAAGACGGCCACCCTGTCACTCATCATGCCCAACATGAAGACAGCCATCCATAAAAACCTCTCAGACAGATACACATCAGTTCAGGATTATTTTATGTGATCTCCTGGCTAAATAAAGGAAATAAATAAATAAATCTACAGAATCTTTATTTTAAGCATTTATTTCTCAGCTTTGATCTTTTACATGTAAGCACAGCGATTGCATACTTTTCTGTATACTGATTGCTGGTGAAGTCTTCGTTCATGCTCAGAATTTTAAAGTAATATGACAGCTTACCCCAAAAATAAATAAATAAATATGACCGGAAAATACAGCTTGTCTAGACAGCTGGAGAGCTGTTGTTGTCCATTCTGAGAGATGACTGATAGGAGTGTAATACCATAACATAAACATTTGTGTTCTGATAAATGAGATGACAGCTTACTGGCTTGACGGATTTAGCTTGTTAGGAATATTGCTTTATGAACGTGAAATAAACCAAGAAGAAACTGCAGCATCGTGAAAGTTTCACAACTAAACAAATGGCCTTACAAGTGTGAGAATGTCTTGGTTACATATGTAATCTAGTTTCTGCAGATTCTCTCATTTTGATTGCAGTTAACCTGAATAATGATGGAAATTTATTAGTCCTGAAGACTTTTAGGTAGGGGTGTAACGATTTATCGTAGTACGATTTATTGCTATGCAAAAATGTCACAATATGCATCGTGGCGTTATGACGATTTCATTACGATATGACGTCCGTTTTCTCTTATTAGTTGAGCTGTTTGCACGTGAGCTACGTTCCACCTGCTGTCGCACAAGAGTTCAGATTGCAGCAGCAGTAACGTTAGCAGACCAAGATGAGTGGAGTTGAAATAGAGGATGGCCCATCCTCTCAAAATCAGACGTCTGGCAACATTTTGGTTGTACAGTCATTGCTTTAGACTCGTCCGCTTTTTGACACGCATACTGGGTCAAACATAGCCAAAGTTTTAAAGTCTTCACAGTGATTTACATACTTTGCACAGTGACATGGATACCTCCTAATGGTGTTGAAAGAGTCACATACTGTATTTATTTTATTTTATTTTTATTTACTTTATTTATTTATACAGGGACAATGTACAACATGACATGTTGTGCCAGAGTTAGCTATAAAGCTAATTTACATCTGTAATCCCTGGGCAGGAAGTAACAAATGTAACACTTATAACAAATACAATATACACTTACAGTACAATAAATACAATACATCATTGTCAATAAAATGAAATCAAATCAGTGGCTGCATATAAGGTACAATTCACCCTAAAATATCATTCTGTCTTCATATAATGATGTATTGGCGGCTGCAAAATCACACATGACGTGAGCTGACCGTGAGCTGTTACTACAGAGGGCGGACTATGATAGACACGCGCGTCTTAGGTAATAAAGTAGTAAACAACATTCAGTTTGTGGAACAGAGTGATCGTTCAGGAGCCGCGTGGGAAGTATGAACAGCAGTGGAAATGAAACCGAAAGCGTGCACATTATTTAAAGAGCCCATATTATGGGTTTTTGAAAATTCCCCTCCATGTAGTGTGTAACACAGCTCTAAGTGAAGTGAAGTATCCAGCTAAGGCTTAAATCTGTAAGAATACAGTGTTTAAAACGGTTGATTCATCTATAAAAGAGTCGACTCATAGTGCTTCAAACGAGTCGCCTTGATACCGAGTCATTAGGTGTTTCGCCATGACGTACGAACGAAACCAAGTTATTCACGTGCACGCGCATTTCAAACCTGAGGCCCCGCCCTCTGACGCAGAAACCCAGACACACAGACACACACACACACACCCACAAACACGCACACAAACATGCCGGTCAATTGAAGTCACACTGCAGATGGACATTATCGATTCTCTACCCAGAGATGAAATCTCAGCATTATAACCAAGCAGTTGGAAACTTCTGGAAACTACATGCTACAAAGAATACTTCATCTGCGTTTGTTAAAGTAAGGATCAGTAAAGAGTTACTTACTAATGGACGTCAGGATGAGTTTCTTCCTCCATTTCTCAAGTGTAAGTACGTGCGATTAAAGTTGCCTCGTTGACTCTAGCTTGCAAATGTATTTAGTTGTGGTTTGTTACTTGTAACCGAGTGTACTGTATCAGGTTAACTGGCTATATTCTCTTATCGCGTGCAAAGTCACGTTAAAAACGCGACGCGTGCTGTTTGTTTACG